AGGTCGATCGGCGAGCCAGCTTCAGGCGGTCGCGCGAGGCCGGCAGGGGCGGGCCAAGGCGGGTGTTGCTGCCGCCGCGAAGGCGGAGGCGGCGGCGGAGGCGGCGAGGGTGGCAGCGGAGGCCGCGGCCGCGGCCGAGGCGGCGAGGGTGGCAGCGGAGGAGGAGGAGGCGGCCGAGGCGGCGAGGGTGGCAGCGGACGAGGCGGCCGCGGCCGAGGCGGCGAGGGTGGCAGCGGAGGCGGCGGCCGCGGCCGAGGCGGCGAGGGTGGCAGCGGAGGAGGAGGCGGCGGCGGAGGCGGCGAGGGTGGCAGCGGAGGAGGCGGCGGCGGCCGAGGCGGCGAGGGTGGCAGCGGAGGAGGAGGCGGCGGCGGAGGCGGCGAGGGTGGCAGCGGAGGAGGCGGCGGCGGCCGAGGCGGCGAGGGTGGCAGCGGAGGAGGAGGCGGCGGCGGAGGCGGCGAGGGTGGCAGCGGAGGAGGAGGCGGCGGCCGAGGCGGCGAGGGTGGCAGCGGAGGCGGCGGCCGCGGCCGAGGCGGCGAGGGTGGCAGCGGAGGAGGAGGCCGCGGCCGAGGCGGCGAGGGTGGCAGCGGAGGAGGAGGCGGCGGCGGAGGCGGCGAGGGTGGCAGCGGAGGAGGCGGCGGCGGCCGAGGCGGCGAGGGTGGCAGCGGAGGAGGAGGCCGCGGCCGAGGCGGCGAGGGTGGCAGCGGAGGAGGAGGCGGCGGCGGAGGCGGCGAGGGTGGCAGCGGAGGAGGCGGCGGCGGCCGAGGCGGCGAGGGTGGCAGCGGAGGAGGAGGCGGCGGCGGAGGCGGCGAGGGTGGCAGCGGAGGAGGAGGCGGCGGCCGAGGCGGCGAGGGTGGCAGCGGAGGCGGCGGCCGCGGCCGAGGCGGCGAGGGTGGCAGCGGAGGAGGAGGCGGCGGCCGAGGCGGCGAGGGTGGCAGCGGAGGAGGAGGCGGCGGCCGAGGCGGCGAGGGTGGCAGCGGAGGAGGAGGCGGCGGCCGAGGCGGCGAGGGTGGCAGCGGAGGAGGAGGCGGCGGCCGAGGCGGCGAGGATCGAGGCCGAGAAGGCGGCGTCGGAGGAGGCGGAGCGGCAGGCGGCGGAAGCGGCGGCGGCCGAGGAGGCGGCGGCGGAGGCAGCGGCTGCCGAGGCTGCCCGCGCCGCTGCGGTGGCTGCCGAGGCGGCAAGGGCGGCCGTGGAGGCGGCGGCGGCGGCGGAGGCGGCGAGGTTGGCTGCGGAGGCCCGGCTGTCGGCGCAGAGATCGCAGGACGGCGCTGCCGTGGCGAGTGGGATCGTTCCGTCACAGGAGGAGGCGCAGGCGGCTGCTGAGGCGAAGATCGCGGCCGACGCGGCGTGGGCAAAGTCGGCCAAGGTGATCGCACGCACGCACGCACGCACGCACGCACGCACGCACGCACGCACGCACGCACGCACGCACGCACGCACGCACGCACGCACGCCACGCACGCACACTGCTCACCCACGCGCACTGGGCCTTGCACTTTTAAAGCCGCGGGGCTTTTGTCTTTTAGACGTGGAGTCGCGAGGATCGCCCCCCCCCCCCCCCCTTCCTTACCCGACCCTTAGGTTGTCGCGGCGAGGAAGCAGCAGACGCAGCGCGAGATGGAGGACGTCGCGCAGTCCGCGGGGGCGGGGCGTGCGGCCATCATGGCCAAGTTTGGCGGAGGCGTGAAGCGGCGCCCGTCGAATCCCGCCGCCGCCACTGCCGCACCCGCTCCCGCCAAGGTGGCGGACGAGGAGGAGGAGTACTTTTGATGCGGGCGGGAGCTTCGACGAGATGCAAGGGCGCGCCGTCATCAAGGGGGCGGCGCTGCGGCTGCGGCCGTCGTGGCGGCAACCATGGATGCCGATGCGTTGCTCGCCTTCTTGAATCAGCCGCTCATCATCGCTGCGCCGCGGTCGAGATGTTCGCGACTTGTGCGAGGTCGTCCATGGGTCGGTTCTAGTTGTGTGGCGCCTAATGACAAAGACGAATGTAAGGGTAAAGGGAGTCAATTCACAAAAAGAATTTGTGCGAGAAAAGGTCAACGGGTGCGGCCGGCCGACGTAAAGCCGACAGCGACACGACGTGTCCCTGGCTCCCTGCCGGGTCGCGCGCCCACCCGCCCAGAAACTTCGTGCGCACTGTGCGGAATCAGTGTACCGCGAGGCGCCAGTCGCGTTTTCTTATCCTTTCGAGGCTTGCCGAAAGGGGCCATTTTTAAGAGAGCTGTGCACCTGCCTCCGCCTCCGCCTCCGCTCCGGCAGCCACGTTCTTTCCCTTTTGTGCCTAGTGTTGTGCCTAGTATTTTGTGAGAGCGGCGTCAGGAATTACGGCTCTATTTTCCTAAGATGGCGGCTCTTGCGTATCTTAGCAAGGGGCTTGCGCGACTCTCCCGTAGGGTTGCCTAACGTTAATTTGGGGCCTAAACAGAGTTGCGCTATTGTTGGCTGAAATCCTTAACGTTAACCTTAACGTTAAGGCCACGACTGTCGTCCCCCGGCACCACCGGGCACGGGGAAGTCGCGAAGGGCAAGTGGAGTGCGGGAGGCCCGCTCTCTCGGAGCGGGTCGGGTCTGCTGCGGATTGACGCAGTCGTCCTACCAGTGCCTGTGGTGCGGCGCCGAGACAACAGCTGCCGATCACCCGGCCGAGACCGGATCCGCACAACCGACCACCCCCGCCGCCGCGCCGCCCGAAGACCACATGCTTGAGCATCCAGCAGGTGACACGCTGCCGCCGCCATCGGCACCGCCGTCGCCGCCCGAGCCCGTCACCTCCGTGGAGGCTGAAGCGCCATCGGCACCGCCGTCACCGCCCGAGCCCGCCGCCTCCACGGAGCTTGACGCAGAGGTGGCGCGAGCAGCGGAACGAGCGGCACATCGGGACCTACGCGCTGCGCACGAGAACTGGAAGGCGCGGGAAGTGGGGGGAGGACCGAGGGGATAAGAGGGCCCCTCCAGACCGAGGGGGGGGAGGCCAGACCGGGAAGCCTCGAGGGGTGACGTCGAGTGAGGATGTACGTCGTGTGCGTGTCTGGTGTTTATTAGCTCCGAGTAGAGGGGGCGCTCCGCTGCTAGGGGAAACCTGGAGCGCGGACTAACCCTCGGAGACCCGTGTTTACTTTACGGCCCTTTCCCTGCGAACGCGCACCCCCTGGGCTAGGGCTCTCTTGCCCGCAACCCGATGCCAATCATCCGGCCCGCTGGGTGCGCTTCTCAGCTCCCCGGCCCTGGGTGTGCGGTTGCCGACTGCACTCCAAGTGCTCCAAGTTTCGGCGGCACGTAACGTCCAAAACAAGGCCACGACTGTCGTCCCCCGGCACCACCGGGCACGGGGAAGTCGCGAAGGGCAAGTGGAGTGCGGGAGGTACGACTGGGCCGGCGAGCGGGGGCGCGCGTGGCGCCCTTCATGAACCTGTCCTTTTAGTTAGGACAAAAATCTTTTTAAAAGGACACATGGGGCTATCCGTTGTTCAGCGGCCAGCATGAAGCAGAAAATGGCAAAAAAAGTAAACCCCGAAAATACCTGGGGTTTGAGGCGCCAGTCGCGTTTTCTTATCCTTTCGCGAGGCTTGCCGAAAGGGGCCATTTTTAAGAGAGCTGTGCACCTGCCTCCGCCTCCGCCTCCGCTCCGGCAGCCACGTTCTTTCCCTTTTGTGCCTAGTGTTGTGCCTAGTATTTTGTGAGAGCGGCGTCAGGAATTACGGCTCTATTTTCCTAAGATGGCGGCTCTTGCGTATCTTAGCAAGGGGCTTGCGCGACTCTCCCGTAGGGTTGCCTAACGTTAATTTGGGGCCTAAACAGAGTTGCGCTATTGTTGGCTGAAATCCTTAACGTTGTTCAAGGGTTCACCCCAGCCCATGCTGTTACTGTTTGTTGTGTTACTGTTGTTACTGTTGTTTGTTCAGCGGCCAGCATGAAGCAGAAAATGGCAAAAAAAGTAAACCCCGAAAATACCTGGGGTTTCTGGGTATTTTTGGGTATTACCAACGATCTCCTGTTCTTGCGCAGAGATTTCCATTACTCACGGTTCTGTTTCTGTACAGTCCGCCAGCCCATGCATCTGGCATGCCCGCGGCGCATGCCCTACAGCTGTCATGCCACCGCACCCGCCGCGTTCCTCTCCTCCGAATCCTCCGCCCAATGCCACCGGTAATGCTGGAGGATTCGTAGGAGGAAGATGGCGGTCAGACGGGTGGCGAGCTCGGGGCCGCGCATCCGGCGCGCCGAGTTGATGATCTTCACGCCCAACCCCGTGCGTTGTACAAAGACCGGGGAGGTCGTGGAGGCCTCAACGACCCTCTCCGAGCCGCGTAGTGCGCATGCGAGCCACTCGGGATAATGGCGATTGGCCGCCGCGTGGGCGGGCAGATTCGGCCAGTGCTGATAGAAGATCTGCAATTCGCGTAGGTGGCGGAGTCCACTGATGACCGACCATGCGGACGAGCAGCTCGTGGCGGTGAGTTGCATGGCACTCGAGAGGTCGAGCCTCTGCAGCCCCGTCGCGGCGAGCTCGGGCAGCTCCTGCAGGACAGAGCTGCCCACCGAGAGGGACGTGAGCCCGGCGGGACCCACGCTCAACGCCGATGCGTCACGGATGGCAAACGAGAGGCCGAGGTGGCGCAGGCTGTGGAGCGAAGCGATCTCAGCGGGCAACACATGCACCACCTGCTCGCCCGCAAGAGCAGCGAGGCGTGTCTCGCCCGACTCGAGTTCCAGCCGCTCGAGCCGCCCAAACCGCCACACTGGGCCTTCGCTCGCCAGCTGAAAGGCCCCGGACAGGCGGAGCTCGCGCACGTGCAGCCGCCC